TGATGTAGAGGAATATTTTAAAATACAGGACTGTGGAAGGATGGTGTGTCCAATTGGGCCATGGTGAAGCCTGGTGAAATTTCAGACCTTAAATCATCAATTTTACAGAGTAAGGGACAGAAGGAGTGCTCATTAAAGCACATATCAGTTAAATCCAAATGGGATTTTATTCATATGTATTTTACATGTTTTACATATTTTAGACACATGTAAAATGGAAATGGGATTTTTATGTACTTTATGGATAAAATGGTGAACACAAGAGTTTATGCATGCACAGAAGCATAAAGTGTAGGAGACAATTTTTTTTTCTGTTGCATATCAAGTTTGCAAAACTGAAGTCTATTAAATTGAGATTTTGCACTGATAAAAATTGAGCTGATTCAAATAAATAATGATTTAGGCAAGGTACCTTTTTAGGTTGTGTTGATCAGATACTCTTAAATATTACAGTAAACTGGAAGACAACAGTTCAGTAGTTAATTTTATATAATCATTTATTTGCCCTGTCATTCCTAGTAAATACTGTAAGAATAACATCCCATTATCATTCATATAAAACAACTTAGTTTTACAGAATATCAAAATGCAACAAAAGCTGCTGTAAATGTTATGCTACTCAAGAGCAATTTTTCTTCCTACTCTGAATTCTAATGCTTATCATGTCACTGTTTCTGAAAGGCAAAAGCCGGAAGCATAGTTATGTTTTAAATATGCATACATTGCTTTCTGCCAGATCTTGGATTCTTTTCAAAGCTGTATGAAAAACGGTGAAGGAGGAGGGAGGATGATCCATCAAAGGGTTGTATACATAATTTAAAATAATGTGGTTTGATTTTAAGACCAGTTAATTTGCTAATTTTTAAGCATCATGTTTTTAGGTAACCTCTAAATGCAGATGTGTTTATACTCTGAAAAACATAAATACTTAATGATATTACAGCATATCAGTTTCCTGGTCCAAGTAGCCTTAAATGCGGAAGGAAGAAAAGTAGGCAAGCAGACAGGCACATAGGCACATTATATTGATGTTTTAAAATTCAGCCAATGCACGTTTAGCTATGTACGATGCACATTTTCTTTCACTTACAGTACATGGAGAGAAAATGTGTTATTTTCTCTCCATGTAAATGTTAGCACCTAATAGAACACAGATTTTGAATTCATGTCAAACTGTTTCAACAGTTAATATTTCTGAAATAAACATTAATCTCATATATGTTAGACTGGATCCAGACTAGAATATGCTTAGAAAAAACCTACTGAAATCAAAGAGGCTTAAATTAATCATAACTATTTTAAATATGATTATGTCTGTATGAATAATATTTTGATAATCTACTGATTTTGACCAGAAATTGGACTAACATTTGTGAAGTCGGATAAATGCTATTCTTCCAGCTGATGAAGAATGAAGCTCTTATTCTTTACTCAAGAAAGTGGGAGGATTACCATCAGCCCAAATTATGTTTGGGAATGTTGTATGCAAAACAGCATATATCTACATTAACAAGCATGTATTAGAGAAAGTTAGGTAAAAGTGTAATATTAGTGAAAACACTTCACATATTAAGGAATATTCCCAACAGCAATAAATGTGGATTTTGAAAAATAATTTCAAGATTGGCAATTTATGGGTAAAACCTCATTCCAAAAACCTCATTTTCAGTCAGCCATTCCATTTGAACAGCCATATCAAATGAAACTTTATTGCATGCAATTTCTTTAAAGGAATGTCAATGTAAGTAGGTATTTATCCTTTTTTGCTTTCAGACTCCCCCAATCTGGTTCTTCCAGATGGGTTAGGGCAGAGTTTTTCAAACTTCTGGGTGTTGAAGTCTACACATCTTAAAGTTGCCAAGTTTGAAAAATGCAGAGTTAAGGAAAGTAAAGTCTCCTCTGAGTCAAGCTTGACTCCCATTGACTTCATGGGCATAACCTTGTCATTCTCTTGATAACATTATGGAAATGGTTTCCCCTTGCTTTCTGCCAGGCTGTTTTTCCTCAATCTAACTTGTGATTTCTTGGAAGTTTCCCAACCATGTACTAACCAAGTCTAACCCTGCTTGATTTTTCCGGGAAAATACAAATCCATAATTCCTAGCTATGGGAGGTGTTTTAGAACATTGTGAGTCATATACCTATTTTAAAGAGATCCCACTGAATTTTAAATGTGGATAGCAGTAAAGGCTATATCTCTAGCTGGTGTGAGAGGACAATTTGTATTCCGAAGGAGATTTCATTTAAGGAGTTATTTTAACATAATGCATACATGTAACCACCATCAGATAACTCAGGCTCCTTCCAGCTTCTTAGAACATGATTAATTTGCTAAGGAGGACTATAGCAGCACAGCTATAAGAGGCTTGGAATATCAGAAATCGCACTTGCAGATTTTTTCCTTCTAGATGGATACATGGGTAAGGAGGCATAACTCCAGCTCTAGCAGGATAAAATGAAAGGTCTTCCCAATATTGTTGCTAAAAATATTCTACAGACCCCACAAATCTCCACATATTTCTCACCAAATAAAAAGAGGCATTATTACTGCTCAGTGAAGGCTTAATAAACCTTTTTGTCTGAAGTTTGTTGCCAACTGACAGCCTTGCAGTGCTGCAAAGACTCTTGCGCATTAGTCATGAGAGAAGATGAACTCACTGCGCATATCTTTTTTCCCACACAAAAAAATGTGGAGGCTGCCTAAATACTGTTAAAAGCACAGTTGGTTCAACTCAATCTGTGTCCCACATTAATTGTGCAGCCAATTTCTTCAATCGGTTCCTTGTCACTGGCTGTTGCTTGCAGGGGATGGAGAAATGTGCTAATGAGAGCAAACTTTTTCAGACTTTTAATGGAGGTGAAAGGACAAATTCAGTATGAGGCTGCCATCTGCATGTTCTCTGTAATGTGCGCTTACATGTTGATGAGCATGACAACCATAAATGTCTGATGTGCAGAAATGAATCACAAAGGAAAAGTTTAATTTTTATTCTGAAGTCTATTCTGTTCAGGCACAATAGGAAAAAAAATCATTCTATACTGCATATCAGAAAATTAAAACATGACAGCTGTGTACTTTAGCTTTCCTATACACCAGCTTTTTCCAACTTGATGTAAACATTTCTGTAAATGTTGTTTATTTTGTACGTTCTGCATAAACAAATTGGATTCTGTCTTATTCAGGCCTGGGAACATTTACAAGTTGTTACAAATGAACATCTACTATCCTATGGAAAAATGTAACAGCATATCTGTGTTATTTGTCATAGGCTCTCTCATCTCCTAAATTAAAGTGTCTGCAATAATGCACACGTAAAACCAGCCTGTAAACCTGACTGTATCACCTTCCATCTCTCCTTCAAAGATTTATGTTATCCAACCAGAATTTAATAAAAATGTATGTTGAGTAGAAAGATAAGCCTTAATAAATTGCAAACCAAAGCAGGCCAAGAGCAAACTTTTTCAGTTAGCAGTATTTATACAAGAAGTCTGATGGATCTCCAAGGGAAGAGCAGACCACAATTACATGAAAAAACTAATGAACTCTACTGGGTGTGTAGATACACAAAGTGCACTTACAAGGGCTCTGCTAACTTCTTCAATATTACTGCACTGTTCTGTTTTTTTTAACCAAATGAAACTGGATTAATGACGCCACATTGCCTCACATGAGTTATCTCAGGAACTACCAAAACATAGACAAGGTCCTAATGCAGTTTCCCTTTTAATTAGCTAACACTCATCTTAAATAGATAAAATGTTTATTTTAGACATGTTTTAGTGGCAATGCCAGAGAAGACAGATATAGAAGTAGATACAATTCTGAGTAAAGCATTTTCAATAAGCAACAAAATTGGTCAATTTCTTTCATCACCTGATTTCTACCTATTATATTTTAAAAGAAGCAAACAGTTCAAGAGTTTTTCTACTCAAGAGACCTGCTTTATTAAGCTTAAATTTTCCCACTGTCCCCAAGAAACACCTCTCAATCCACATTCAAACCTTCTCTATCACATTTCCTGTACTTGAAAAATCCATTTTTTTCCTACTTGAGGGATCATTTAAATATCAGGATATCTCCAAATGTTTTTCCCTTCCTGCAGGGCAATTCTACAGTTAGGTGGGATCCAAAAGAGTCCACATTTTCCAGAAGCCCCCAATTTTCTCCACAGTCCTTATCTTTATTTCTATTCCTTGCAGAATTAACTTGCCAGGTTGGTAAGGTAACAAAATACTATACTGAGCTTAATTCCTCACCTATCTCTTCAAAGATCAACTTAAAACACCGAACCAGGTTCAAAGAGCTATGCTGTATCCCATATGCCACCCCATCAGATTGCTTTAATTATACATGGCTTGTGTGGAGTTTTCTACAGGCAAACTGACTGGGCAGGGTGGTGTGTGTGTGTGTGTCAGAAAGACATCACCAGCTTTCCGTTTTCCTGAGGGTAGAGGTATTGGTGATACAGGTTCATGCTCTGTCCTCCATTGCTTCTTAAACTTGTTGCAGCCAATCTGATTTAGCAACTAGTCACAGATATGAGCACTACAAGTAAGATTACAACGTACTTTCTGTTAATCATTTTAACAATATACTCGTATCTGAAGTTCAAATACATTACCAAATCTTTTTAGGTTGCTGTCCCATACACACAGAAATTATGCGAAAGAAATTACGTCTGAACAGACATAGCTGGGATTACATTATTTTTTACAACACAATCATTCATACATTTATTGAAAAGTAGGTCTTATTAAATGTATCTTATTTCCCTGAAAAATGGACATACTGCACCCTCACTTGCTACTGTTGTATTTATTTCCCTACATTAATAACAACAGAGTAACCAACATAAATTTTAATGCATATCCTACATGCTTTAGCACATTAAATCTAATTTAGGTGGTACAATTCTGTACTGAAGTCCTATCTGAAAACATTGCTTGCTTAAATTAAAAAGGCATCACCCCTGTAGGAGGTACATGCAGTGTTCACTTACCTATTATTTTCTGCAGCAAAGTTGGTAGCTCTGGTTCATCACAAATAGCTTGGACAAGGGCTTCCTTCACTTGACTTTCAGCCTCACTTAATTCTTTTCCCAGTTTGACTTCTCCAACTATTGAGTAAATATATACCAGTAACAGAAGCAGCTCTTGGGGAGTGTAATCATTATTATCTGTCCTGTTATTGTAAGACTTGATAATGGGTAGCAGTTGGTTCAGTGCATTAAAAAATGTTGACTCACCAATATTCTGAAAACAGAAAACAAAATAAAATTCCCTTAATTTCACAGTATAAAATAAACACTTTTTACAAAGAGAAAGCCAAGGACGAATCATGGGACAAACACCTACACATTTTCAACTGATTTAGGAGGTACAAATTCAAATGTTGCTATTACAGACCTTGATTCTCTTTATATCCCTTTGCAATCAGTGTTCTCCATAGGGTTTGGACTACAATTTCTATCATCCCTAGCCAGAAAGATAAATGATTAAAGTTAATAGTTGCTGCCTTGGAACATAAACATTTTAGGACAGCCTTCCAACTCACTTTCATCCAGATACATTGGTCTACAGCTCCCATCTTCCCCAGCAAAATGATTTCACAGAAGCAAGGCCCAAGGATGGAGTGTGCTATTTTATCTCATTGCTGTCAAGTCCATTCATAAAATAACTCCATTATATAGTTTCTTAACTATTTCAAGGATAGCATTTAAATATAACATTATAGGGCAAATCTTCCCGATGTCTCATGACTTAGTGGAGACTGGATATAAAAATTGAGTTATAACGTTTTCCATATGGAGCTTCAGCCAAACTGGACTGTAATTAGGGGGTCTGATTTGTTTGAAATTGTGACTATTTTTTAATGGATGAACACAGAAAATACTTACATTTGGCAGAGAAAATATGCTTAAAACAAATCTGTCTCCTTTCCTTGCATGTCTTTCTCTCTCTGTGTATTTATTTATTAGAAGTACCATCACCACCACCTCCTTAAAAGTCTAGCTTTTCTGTCAAGCCACAGTATTAAAGATAAATTTATCGGAGTTGTAATCTGACTCTGCCCCCTTCCCTCTGAGATGCTAGATTTATTTCAAGGGAAATGCTGACTTACTGGCAAACTGGATACAGTGGGGGAGAAAAAAAGGATCATTCCAACCATTCAGCAGCCTTCCCCAAACTGGCACTTCCTGTATATATTGGATCTTGGTTGTGCTAGTATTCTGGAATGTCAACTTGGAGAACTCCACTGAATGTAACCCCCACAGAGGGGTGTTTTGGAAGAAACTCACAGGAGCCCTTTGTTAAATTTGGGTGGGATTATCAGAGCACCTTGCTACAAAAATTAATTCCATAAAATGTAATGTTGAGACCACGGAGGGTAGTGAGATAATGCAGAAAGGAGCACCAGGAAGGATCTGCTCACAGTGGCCTGGCTGCATCTGTTAGAATGAAAGAACTAAGGCAGATGTAACACGGCTTGCAGTTTGATCAAACATAGGGACATCAGGCAGGAAAGAGAAAGCTTGTGGGAGACCTGAAAGAGGATAGGCATATTGCTACCTGGTGGTGTTAATCACTCTCATCTCCCTCATCTTGGTTCCAGATGAACAGCAGGAAAGAGCAAGAAAGAGAAACAGGATGAATTTGGTTTTTTTGCCCCCACTGCCACTTGTGACTGAAAAACTCCTTGTTAACACAGTGGCAGCGCCCACAGCCCTAGTCCAAGCCATGGCTGGAGAAGACTGGGAGAGAAAGCCAGTTGTTTCATTAGTGTGGTAGTTTCCAGTTTATTTCCAACTTCCAGTTTCTTTGGAATTAGTATTATATTTATACTTAAAAGAGAAAATAAGAATCTGCTTTACTGCCTGATCAAAGAGGCTACCAGGATAAAGAGCTTGTATTGTAACCACTGCCTTAGTCCCTGCACTTTGATCATCTTCTGTGGGTAAAAAAGTAAAAAGAAGCAGAAGAAGCAGCAGCAGCAGCAGCAGCAGCAACAGAAGGAGAAGGAGAAGGAGAAGGAGAAGGAGAAGGAGAAGGAGAAGGAGAAGGAGAAGGAGAAGGAGAAGGAGAAGGAGAAGGAGAAGGAGAAGAATGACAGTCTCAGCTGTAGACTCCAATCTGGTTTAAGGTTCTCATTTTTAAGGAAATAGCATCTTTCTCTCAGAACAAAAAAAAGGCTCCTGCAGCTCAAATGCCTAAAACATCTTTTTCAGATATTCAGAACTCTTTAACTGAACAAATTAATTAAACTAACATATTAAACAAATACTCTTCTGAATTAGTAATGAGCACCCCTCATTACCAAGGCAGTTGTCACTGAAGAAACTCAAACTTCTTTCAATTAAAAAGGAATTAAAATGCTTCGAATTCTATTTTAAAACAAAACAGTAAATAAGGAATACAAATAATAAAGGACAATTATATTGGCTTTTGCAAAATAACTAGAGAAGCAGAGAAAGTGAATGGGAAACCACGATATTTATGAAGGCCCCATGTTTTGATCGCTGACCTAGAATCAAACAGGGATAATGAGGATTCTTCATAATATTAAGGTCTTGAACTCTTCCTCTTTTGGTTTGAGTTGCTGTTATTGCTGGCTGTCCTTCTCTTCTCCCTTTTGTGATTTCGTGGGAGAAGTATTTTATGTGAATAAGCCCGCTGGGCTATAGTACAAATGAAAACAGTCAATAAGCCAGCTCTCTTGGAACACCACAGAGAATTAGGAAATTTGCCTCAAACAAAACCCATCTAGCAGTTTGTCATTAACTAGCCACCTCTAATGATTTAGGAGCTCTCAGTGCAATTACAAATCAATCAATTACACTTACTGAATAGCCCTTAAAGCACAAGATTTAAAAAAGAAACCACCCATGACCCGAATTTCCTGCTGGTTAGGTTGGCCTCGGGTTAGACTTGTTTACCTATCATCAAGGGGGCCAGTAAAAATAATAAAAAATATCTCAGTTCTGAGCTTTTGAAAATACTCACAAAAACAGTTGGACTGCCTAAGATGGCTCCAAAGAAGACAACTCCATCACTTTGTCTTCAGTGGTAACCTCTTGCAATTTTCTCTCTCTTTCATTAATTATCTTAGTATTGTCTTTAAATGGTAAGATCACTAATGAAAGGGAGAGAAAATTCCCCTTATACTTCTTTCTTATCCTAGATGCCATCGCTCTTTTTCTTTCTCTTTGTATGTCTTATAATGGAAGTAAAACAAGAATAATCTGTGCAAAGCAGTGGTGTCAATTTGCTGACTTCTGCAGACTGTTTTGGCCTGTTGGTAGATATAAAGGAAAGAATATGAATAGGTATTTTCCTAAATAAAAGTAGTATTATTTTGCATATGTCAAGCGTAATGTGCCACTCTGATTAAGACACTGGCTTCCCTTCAGTTCTGCAGAATGTAATTTAGAATTAAGCACTGACAAAGAGTTTATGCAAAAGAAACACACATTTTTGCTTACCAGAGGTTCAGCATTACATGATGAAAAACTGCGTGCTTTTTCATGGGGGGGTGGGGGAGAAGAATTTACATTAAACATCAAAGATCTCTTTGGGAGTATTTGTATATCTGGTACCACCTGAACACAAATTTTCTACCTGTTAACCAATATTAGAAATATGAAACAGTTATATTATGAAACGAAATATAACCACGTCATGGACTCCAGCATAAAGGACAAAGTTGCACTTGGGGCCACCCTGTACCTGAAAACAAATTAAAATCACTAATTTGTTGTTGGGATGGGTATCTAGGATGGGTTGATGTGATCTGATTTATTGTGTATGAAACAGCAATTTTCAGCTAGGGTGGGTTACAATTACTGCAACCTCAATCAATCAATCACTGTACTTTGGAACCAAAGTAATATTTCAAACTTTTCATATTTAATCCACACCTTCTGGTTCTATTAATGTAAACATAAGTGCTTGCTCCTTTGCTTATCCCATTGGTAATGAATTAATTCTAGCCCAGCTTTCTATTTAAGTATTAACTTGGCAATCATAATAGAAACTGAATTAAGGTTGAATTGAAGTGCATTGAATTGCACTTAGGCAAGCTGGCATTTTCTAAATAAAAACTAAATAACTTGCTAGGGAGATAAGACCTACATCCTTCTCTCTTCCCAACAACTACTGACTTTTTTTCTTTTTCTGTGCAAGCTGGTCATTTGTGTCAATTTATATACATGAATGTTCAAGCTACTATTTTAAGCTAGAGTGGTTCCTGAATAGTTACTTTCCATGCAAAAGCGTCTATCCACTACTCTTAATATGAGTATTTTAATTAAATTATAAGATATCCTTGCACTTCATTCAAAACAATGAAAGATGTATGTGCCAAAACAAACTTCAGTTAGAATTTACTTTAAGACAGGAAGCTATGGAGGTGACAGCCCACTGTAATTTTCCATTCTTAAAATTAAATAACTCAGAACAGAATTTTGGCTGAAAAGTCAATCAATCACTTGAGCGATTAAGAATAAAAATTCTACATGATATTATATGTAATAAAAAAGGAATTCCTTAAAATATCCCTCAGACTTAACTTTACCGTAGTATCATACCAGAATGTGCTGGAAGAAATAGAAGATTTGAGCCATATGAAAAAGACAATATCTTCTATTTCCTTAGAATTTTAATACAAATGAGGGAAAATATTACTTTGAAATTCAGATAATTTTAGAAAATGGAGGTGGATTTTGGAGTAAGTTATATTGCCTGTTTTAAAAACAGGATTGGGTATATAAATTAATAAGTTGGTAAAATCAATTTTCATTCCTAAATTAAGACTGATTTATTCTAAAGATGAAAATATGTTTTTTTTGAAATGGGTGTTCAAATAGTTAAGTGTAGACCACAAGAATCTCAGCAAGAGTTTATATCAGAAATGCTTAATTCTCATTTTCTAGGTAATTTCAGAGACAGAGATGCTCTAAAAAGTCTTCATCATTTCTTTCCTCTGCCCAACAGCTATTTACACCCTCCTCAGGGTCCATCCTCTCTTTTGAAAGGCGATTTCCTGCCTCAGTTAAACTTTCAGCCATTTGATTGCTCTGGTTTCTTCTCAATGAAATTTGTCAGATTCTGCTGTTGATTTTATTATGCCATAAAAGGAAGACTTAAACAAAAATGACCCAACTCTAATAACAAATTAGATACCTATAATTGCCAAGTACCAAGTCTTCTAAACACATACTCAATCCTCCAAGCTTCCCAAGCTGTGCTATCATTAC